CATTTCTACTTTAAGCAATATTTTAAATTTTTTTAATGATTGCTTACTATTGTCATGTGAATGCGTATGTCTGAGCTCTGAACTTAACAACAGCCGTTGCCGTTTCCCTAGTATAACTAATATCTTATTCGAGATCCTGCCAAAATGAGGCAGGATTTTTTTTGATTACAGATATAGGCTTAGTCCAGAGCGAGTCGAGAGGTGTTTTACATAATCATTAATTAGATTTTTTTGCTGAGCCATATATGCAATGCCTTCGGCCAGATTGTGCGACAAAAAATTTATCAAAAATTATGTATCGCTGGCTACGTCCTGAACTTTGTATTTATTTTTATATGTATTAATAAAAAATTTCTTGGCAAATTTGAACGACCCAAGGTTGCTAAAATCACGTGAATTTTTTCCTTGTATCTATGTAAGTATCATTAGATATATTGAACAATTCCCTTTTTATATAAAACATACTACAATCATATCATCTGAGCTTGAATTATTGAGACAGCGTATTACTGAACTTGAGACTAAGAATGTGAAATTGAGACAGATTATTGAGGAAAATACCAAACGTGAAGTTAAAAATACTAAACTCAAGTCTAAAGTCAGAGAGCTTAAAGTTAAACTTGCGATATTAGAATAGAATCCCCCGATAGTAGATGGACAGCTAGAGAATGATAAAAAAGTATCATTAGAGGTATCAGTTGTATCTGATTCATCGCCTATTCATGAAGTTCATAATCAGTTAAAACTAACAGAGCAGATCGAAGAGGTACCAAAGGTACCAGATTAAGAGAAGATATCGGAAGATATGAAGACAGATGCTTTCTTGGTTGAGTTCCATAAGAAAAGCATTAGCAATGAGATTAGGGAATGTAATAAGGAAAAGAAACTTAGTAAAGCAGTGGAAGATCAAGTATCATTACAAAAAATATCTGATACTACCTCTAGTATCTCTTCTTCTGAAAAGCTCATGAGTACAAAAAATGGGCAGATATTAATTCAAGAAATTTCTCGTAACTTAGCTGAATCTGCTACTCCTTCATCTATTCAAAAGAATGGTTCCATATGCGCATTGTCTCCCAATCCTTCAGAAATTTCGCTTATCTTGAGTAAGGAAAATATCATTTGCTTATATCAAAGAGCCAGCGATGCAGAAGGTCTTGTAATGAAAGCTAATTAAAAGGAGATATTAAGCTGGTATTTATATGTTAAAGAATTTTTAATTATAGTTAAAGATATCATGACCAGCGATAGAGTTGGTAAGAAAAAGGCAAAAGGGTAGATTTACGATTTTATTGTTCAACAACTTCCTGATACTAAGCGAGATAATTTATGTAAGCAAACTCAAAGAGTTATAAAAATCTTTGATTTATTCGAAAAAATAGGTATAGATAAGATCTGGTATATCAAAACTTATAGCGTAAATTTTATCTCAAAAATTACTAATACAGATCTCCAAAAGGTTATAGATCACTTTTCTAATAATTCTAATTCTTTTACTGAGC